AACTTATTATATATCGTTTCCCCTTACAATCATCGAATGTCTTAATAGGACGCGTGTTTTGCTCGAAAAGAATTTGAAGTGTCGGATGGTAGCGATTTTCGGGAGTGGAAAGATAGTAGATATACTTGTAGTACATTGTAGCTTGGGCTATCGTCCACAAATATGAAATCAATCACGGTAGTTTTTGAAACTGTGAATTTGGCTTAGAGAGAGATCCAAGAGACAATTTAGGAAATCGTTTTGAATAGAGCGGGACCACGTTATGGAAGGTAAATTAAGGTCAGCTAAATCAATAAAGTGATCTTTATCGCACATAAGTGATGTTAAATATGTATTTCCGCTATGTATTGCGGCTGAATGGTGAATATAAACATTAGGATTTGAGGAAGGGACTTATATACGAGCAGGAGATAAATAAGTAATAATGTCCAAGAGCAATTCTGATGGCTAAAAGTCTGTCCGTCCGTATGAACGTAAGGGTCTCAGAAAGTATAAGAGCTAGAATAATCAAACTTGGTATCCAGACTCTTCTAAGTCCGAGTATAGAATATTTTATATTTACTGTAATTAATTTATTAAATTAATTAAAAGTTTTTAATTAATTTTTTCTCCTAGAATTCCTTTCTTTTTTTAGTATAAATTCCGTAACTAACCTCTACACGACCCATAGACTCAGATGGACACCATCATCATAGCAACCAGTAGGTCCATTTGTGTGGTAACATTAAAATATACATATGTCCACATATGTATGTACGTATTACCATAGATAGTATTTATTGAACTAAAAGGTCTCAGAACGTTCTAAAGTTAGTTGCTATTCGGTAGTTCGTTTGAAAACTTTAGAGAGTATCGGCAGAAAAAAGGCATATGGTAAATAAACTTATAATTGTAAGTAAAATATACATACATAGCAACACCTGCGAGCAGTACATACTTGTATATGATTAAATTTTGAATACCCCTGCATATGAAGTATTTTCGAACAATGCTTTAAATTAAATAAAGCTCCCTTTCTCAATGTAAATAGAACTGAATATTCCAAGTTAACAAATGTCGTTTAAAAATATGGAAATTATTTGGGAAAGTATCGTTTTGAGAACAGCTGCGCAAATTTGCGAATTTGTTTTTGGATTTCTGCTTGCGTAAGAATTTTAAAGCAAACAGAATAGATTTTTGACAAATCGCTATAAAACCGAATCCGCTGACTGCATGGAGTCAGTAAGCCATCCGATTTTTTCAAAAGCATAGCCTTTGAAATGAGATCAATAAACCCTATTATGTTGTGCGCCTTTCTGGCCATATACCTCGTTGCCAATATGCCTAGGAGTGAGGCTGTTACTTGCGACGAAGACGCCACCGACCCTAACTGCGTAGACTGTACCGCCTTGCCCAATGACCCGGAATGTACAACCACGACAACAACAACAACGGAAGCAACCACAACTACAACTTCAGCCGCAGATACAACCACAACTACAGCCGCAGACTCAGCGACGACATCTTCTTCAAGTGGTTCGACTGGAGTAAGGCGGAAGAATATTCGCATTTCAAATCTTCGCTTTAAAGTGGTGCGCAGAGTTCGAACGAACGGCGGAGTTGTTAGCAATGGGAACACTAACCGAAGAGTTGTTACCAATGTAATTACTAACCGGAGAGCTAATAACCTAAACCGCAGAAGAGCCCTTAACCGTCGTGTGGTAGGCGTTATCGTTGGTTAAGCATCAGACTTGAAAGCCAACTATGTACGCATATGAATAAAAAGAACGTCGGACTGTTTCGTCTAAGTCCCACAGTTGAATGAACATGTCCGTTGTCCTTTATCATAATTTCCAAAATTGATCATTGCAATGCATTGTCTAAAATCACTCTCCAGGTCGTGCAATTGTTCCAAAGAGATATTGCTTTCGATATTCTAATAATATGATGCAACAATTTCACTACTTTGGGTGTTGGAAGCTAGTCCGTTTTAACAGATTTCCTTGTTACTTACTTTGTTATTAATTAATTAATACCTTATTTATAAATAAGGTTGCACTTATGGCTACAACTTCTTTCAATTTTACATAACGTAACGAAACTTGACATGAGAACACACACAATAACTAAATGCAGTCGTTGAATTTGAATAAAATTTCCATGAATTACGATAGTTAGGGATAATCACTAATAGCTAGGGAATGGAGGAATGCACCAGAAAAAAGCATAAACTGGTCATTTTCCGGACTTAGGAGAGTCTTGATACCAAATTTGGTTATCCCAGCTCCTTTCATGCATACAGACAGACGGACAGATGGACATGGCTATATCGACTCGTATTGTTATCCTGATCAAGAATATACATACGTGCATACGAGAATACTTCGTGGAGTGCGTGAGATCGACGGTATTTTTTTGTTGTTCGTCTTATTGTTGTTGTTGTCGAAATTTAATTTCGAATCGTCTGATTCGCCGGCAAGAAGAGATTTGAAAGGTTCTGGTGTTACAGATTTGCTGAACATAATTTATGATTTTTAAGTTCACTGCTTTTTTAAGACAATAATACAGAATTAATCAAAAAGTTAAACCCCCAAGACGTCTCTCCCCGGCGGCGACAGGTGGCAGCCCCACCACTGGGATAAGTCGCATCTGGCCAATCACCAGGTCGACTGACAACTACATGATTATGGAAACTACTACAAGACAACTGAATCCAAAAAAAGGACTCCCACTACTTCGATGTCTGATGTCAAGGATGGCGCTGGAACCCCCAAGGAAGCAGACGGGATCGGCAGACCTAAAAAAAAAAAAAAAAAAAAAAAAGACGGCAACCTGGCGGCGGATGCACCCTTCAGGAATTCTCCCAGAAACAACAACACCACATGGGACACAGCCAGGCAGACGGCTAGAAGTTAGAGTGTTAAGATTGGAAAAAAAATGTCCTTGTAGTAGCCCTAAGCTCCCAAGTGGAGTACAAAGGAAATAAAAAAAAAAGAAAAAAAAAAAATCAAAAAGTAATAATCACGTGTCAGCTAGACATGACTGAAAAACAAATAAAGTGGATGACATGCCAAGTACAACTGACTGAGAGAATAACATGGATTTTCTAAGTAAGGACCATAAACAGTCAAGGATTGGCCCTGTGATTTGTTAATCGTCATGGCGAAGGAAAGACGAATCGGGAACTGAGTTCGTTTAAACGCAAAGGGCATATTCGTTGGGATCACTGGAATCCTCGGAATGAGAACTAACTTATCTTAAAATTTTCCTGTGAGTATCGTCGCGTGAATCACATTGAATCACATTAAATCACATCAGTTTTCTGATCACCAAGCGCGTTCCATTGCATAATTTTGGTTGGGTTAGATTTCGAAGTATGATGACTACCGAGCCTTTAGTTGTAAATTGTGTGAAGGTATACCAGACATATCCAAGGAGTTTAAAAATCAGTTTGATAATTGGTGGCTTCATCTTCGTCTGTTTCACAGTCAATAGATTTGAATGAATGTAGGGTAGCAACGATTCTATTCGAAATTATAATATTAAGTGATTCACAACTTTATTCTTATCCGCTTCAATCCGCTCGATTCGTCGACAGGAGAACGGCCATTACTGATAATCAGCGCCAGAGGTTTGATGATTTGAGGCAAGCATTTACAAGTATTTTTATTCTGATTAAAAAAAAAATAATTAAAACAATATTTTAGAAAGTTATTTTCCTTTCTGAGATTCTTGCGTTCATACAAACAGGAGGACATCGCTATATCGACTCGGCTTATCATTTTGATAAAGAATTTGCTTAAAATTTCTCCATATATTTATTTAAAACTAAATTGATTACTTTAATTAAATAATTAAACTAAAACGCTTACATATGCTTATGTACTGTTCCAATATAATAGGAAATATAGTACAGGGGTATACAATTTTATAATTAGTTTTTGGAGTTTGGCATTAAAATAAACAAATGACATGAATGGATTTCTAGTACCGTGTGTACCAAAGTCTGAGAGCTCTCATGTTCCCATCAAAACACGTAAACTTATAATTTATTTATTTGGTGGGGGTTGCTTGTACTAAATGCCAAGTTTAGTTTTTCTTTTATTGATAGATTGTAGGGTAGGGTTATATATATAGTTGTATATTGTTTATTGTTTTATTTTGGTTAATATTTAAGAACCATTAGCATAAGGTATACTCTGACCATGTTTGGTGGCGCACGTGACTCTGAATGAATTATCTTTCCGGCCAATTAACTTTTCGAGTAATATTTAGCGTGTGAGCTGCCCAGAGACCTGTAGGTAGACGAGCTTTTGTTTTAGAGTGAGTGCGTCCGCTTGTTTTGCATTTGATTTGTATTTCCATGTTAAGGTAAAAAGGCATAATAGATTATGTAACTACTCTATTAAAATCGTGTATATTACCCAATCGCATCACTCTCAATACATAGTTGCCATAAAAACAGTCGGAGAAAATGGTCTTAGATTCTATGAAAAGAACTGCAATAAGAAATAATTTAAAAAGTTCACCTGGAGCTTATCGATATAATCATACATGTGTGTATTTAAGAAAATAATCATTGCCCTAAATCAATCAGTCCCAAGTAAAACTGCCTTGAATCATCGTTAATTAGATACTTTATATAGCATTAGTAACGGTAGACCTATAATAGGAATTTTAATACTGATATCTTTGAGAAGTAGAAGGACCCGAAATATAGCATAATGGAAAATTCGTATCCAAATTGGGGAAAACAGTGGACAACAGTGTCATATAAACCTGTCATGGGAACAATCTCCATAAATGACGGTTACTAGCGTGTGTAATATTCGGCGTGCCAGAAATACTAGCTGCGATTGTTGCTTTGGATTGAGATTTATACACATTTTAATTGCTAAATATTATGACGTCACTTTGCGTTTTGTTGTTTAGGCACAAACAATGGCAATGACACTGCTATTCAGTTGGCGAAGCTGGGCCGTAGTGCTTATAATACTTACTTTAGATCATTTGTGAACACCATGTGGAGCGCTTTCGATACCGGAGCAGGTAAAACTATAATTATGGTTTTAGTTATGTCGATGGCAAGGGTGGTAAGTTGAAAAAGTGGCTCCATATATGTATTTCAATATAATATCCGATAATGTCCGATTTGTCAACAGAGCGGCATTTGCTTGCCCCCACATCACTGCATAGAGGACGTAAGTAAGTCTCAGGATGGCCGAGATATGCGTATTTATGATGCTCTGTACTTTTGCAGATGGATGAGAGCGATGTAAAGGAGCGGTACGACTATGTTTTGAGCAAATATGAGGAGGTGCAAATGAAAATTGCAGGCCAGCCCATCGGGTACGTGAAACTGGGTCTTGTAAAATTGTCAAACTGTAAAACGAGCTTGTTCGTTCACAGGTTGCACGGTAAGGTGGTAAGTCGAGGCAACGTCGAGGAGCAACACATTGTGTTTCAATACCAGGACAATCAACCGCACGACGTCATCCAGAGCTGTGCATTCGTGATCACCAATGCGCCCGACACCTGCGAGTCTATTTTGACAATCTGCAACACATTTCTGCCGCGAACACCTCGTCCGCTGCTGATGCGGAAGCCTTTGACTGTGTGTGAGGATGGGGTGCGCGAAACGGAAGCTCAGTCGGAGGATACAACCGAGGGAAGTTCCTCATCCCAACAGCCCGATGCTGAGCTGGCCAATGATTCGGAGTTTATTTGAGTAGGAATGTAGAAATGTGGGTGCGATACAAATAAAAGTGCTTACAAAAATAAAATACGCATACATGAAAAATTCTAACACAATTAATTATTTTCCCAGCCAAAAAGTATACTTTGAAAAGATTTGCGTTGTATTAAACAACCAACATTTTTATTTGGCTGTACCGGCTAGAACCACTCGACTATTTTGTTTCAGCTAGTATATCAATAACTTGAACCAAAAAAAAAAAGAAAACAATAATGGAATGCTAGTGTCGAGTGGGCTCAACTCTTAAATACCCACCTCCTACAAAAACCAAATTTTTTCTTTTTTTAATTAAACGAATTAAACTGAGTTATTAAATATCGTGAATTGTCGGGGAGTGGGGAAGGGTATGGATCAGAAAAAAACCATAAACTTGTCCTTTCTCCGATTTAGAAGAATCTGGATACCAAATTTGGTTATTCGTTATGCTTTTATACTTTCTGATATCCTCGCGTTAATACAGACAGACGGACGGATCGACTCGCCTTGTCATCATTTTTTGTGCTACATGTAAGTACTTGTACATCTACACGAAACTAATATACCCTTTTACTCTGTGGGTACAGGGTATAAAAATGATGCTTTTCATTTCGGCGCATGCGCAGGAATTAAATGTGCGTTTATGGAAGACTAAGACTTTTTGATTGCACAGTATTACTTAGTTGCTGTAAAAGCACCGAAACACAATGAAAAGTATCGTATGCAACTGTATGGGCTTAAACCCACATTTTAAATACAAGTATGTAGATGTTGACCAATATAGATTTATGTATGCATATTATAATATTGAAATATACTCCAAATGTATTTAATTGTGCAAATTGAAAAGACGACAAGGTAGGAAATGGTTGGAAAATCCTCTGAGAATGACTAGAAACCGCGCTACAAAATCCGCTAAAAATAGCAAGAAAGTTAAAAAGGCCATAAAACTCATTATAAATAGTTACAAGCCAAACTGAAAAAGGGTAGAATATTCTAGATGGATACAAAACCGCTCTAAATAGACATAATATGGGTAGAAATACGATAATGGTTAGTAGAACCGCTATAAAATTCCCTAAAAATGTATAGAAAACCCGCTAGAAAATGAGCAGAAACACCGCTCTAAATAGTTTTAAACCCTTCTACAAAATATATAGAAAACCCGCCGTCACCTATAGTTGCCGATCCAGAGTCTCAGAAAACGCATTTCTATTTCCATTAAAAATATTCCTGTAATCTCCCGGAAACCACAAGAAACGGTGACTCTTAAAAAACACATCCTTCTAAGGCATGAATAAGCCGAAGACAAATCAACTGCTGACGATTGCGTGTTTATTTTCCAATAAGGATCGTATAGCCATGTGTTGTGAAATATATGACCAAAAGGAAAACACAATGTTTGTTGGCATTTCAGATTGTACCGTTAGGTTTATGCACGCATCTTCAAACCACAGCTGATTCTTGCTTACATTCATAATTTCAATTTCGCCAGTTGGTCTACTTCCTGTTTATGTGCGCCTGTTCAGCATTAAAGCCCTTGTAAATGTAATAATAAAATTTTGTATACGTATTTAAAAAAAAAAGAAGCATGGCAATAGATTTATAGTTCAATTTTATGCCGACAATAATCTATTGGCACTCATTATTATCAAAAGAACTCTGCACAGAATCCTGATACATCCACCTGTTTTATATATTTATATAAGCCAAATTGGTATCCATGTGGATAGAATTCACTTTTCGCAGTGTATCGACAAAAAAATTCAAAAAAACTAGAAAATATAATATTTGAATGGTTGGGCAACACTTGCAGCAAAAGCCAGCTGAAAAGTGCGTGAGAGCAAGCGAAAAGAGCAAATACGGCGACCAAATACGGTTGGAGCGAGCGGCGTGTGCCTAACTTAAATAACAGTAAACAAAGCCGAGCACATGAACGCCAACGCACAGTTGATGTCTGGCGCCAAAGCGAACTGGAGCACGAGCACCGAAGCGCTGCAAGTCAAGGCACAAAATTAGCAAGGCAACGACAGCAACACGAAAACGAGAGCTTTGCTGCTGCTGAGCCAAGACCACAAGAGCGAGCGCCGGCCAGAGAGCAGAAAAATTTAGCCCCGCACGGAAGTTGCTACTCGCTTACATTTTTTCTGCTGCTGGACGTTCAGTGCAAAAGCTGTCGCCGTGCTGTGAAAAGGTCGTGCCGGAAATTGGGGAAGTCTCTGCTATCGCCCGCTGTTGTGCTAGAAACGGTGCGTATGCGGAATTGCCGCCGGTTGTGGAAAAGCAAAAATAAGAGAAACAAAAATGCTAGAAGCCTCGCGCATTTTGCATAATCAAATTAACGCGTAGGTGAGAAAATAACAGAATTAAAAATAAAAAAACATTCGTGCTGTAATTCAATCAAGAGTTGTATGTTATTTGGAGAGGCAACAAGAATTACAAAAAAGCAAAAACAAAATCAAACGGAAAAACTTAACACTCATACAGACGTATTTACATATAACCAACACACACACACATAGCTTTACACACACATACACAAATGGTACATGTGAACGTGTATTTATACTCGAAGTGCGCGTAAACAGAATTTCTGTCAAGTGCAGTGCAAAGCAATTTGCCAGCTCTGTTGTTATTGTTGGTGTCGTCACCTTTCCTAATCCACCAGTAGAGTGTTATCATCAGAGTAAAAACAAAAACAAAAAGAAGACTAAACGAAACAAGAAAAACCCATCAAAAATAGGTAAATCAGTTGCATGTAAAATCGGCATCGAAGGCAGCGTAGTAATGTGAGGTGAGTATATTATTGTATGTGAGGGTGTGTGTGTGTGTGTGTTTGTCCACACACATACATACATATATAAAATAAATAAAGCGAGCTAAAAACGTATCTTCTTCAGCGTCGAAGCTATATGAAGGGTATACAGCTTTGGCATTAAACTCATATATTATTATTCATACATACATGTGTCAGTACTATCATTAGAAAGTTTATATTTATATTTAGTTTACATTTGGTCATCCGTGGTCCAGTCCCTACCCACGAGTGATGCAACACCACCAAATTCGACGTAATTATGCATATCCAGTTTGGTTTCAGTTTTTGAAACATTTAGGGATTAATGCGATTTGGACTTCCTTCATCTTGCTGATCTACCTACGCATATCCATAAGTACGTGTATAATATACGGCCATTTATGCTTCCTTACTTATATTTAAAAACTTACACCATTTGCAATTTTCCGTCAAAAGTACAAAAAGGGCACAACAGTAACCCGAAGGTGCAGAAAATTAGATTTTGTACTCTTGAATGTAAATTTAAAAGTAGAAATTTCTTTTGAATACCTTTTTGAAAGAATGATGGATGTACTTATGTATGTACATATGTATGTAGACGTACAATTTTATGCTTATATACATATAGTATTTACCAGTGAAAATGCACAAAACAGACCAAAACACCACTAAATAGCCCTCGTCAATTCAAGGGCCTATAATGTGCAATTAATACTCTAATTGCTTCTAGTTTCTTAATGGAATAGCCAGTATAACACTCGTTTATGCTGCTTTTTAAGGGTATTGATTTGAAGACAAGGATTGACGAAATGAGGAAAATCACATTAACATGAGTAAAAATATCTAAATATTTCTTTAAACTACTAAATGTTCAAATTAAAACAAGTCCATCGCTTCCTTTTATCTGCTGAGAATTTCATCAGTTAGTTCGCTTTTGACCAACCAACGAAAAGGTTCTGTGAGATAGAGGATATAAAAATCTTTGTGGATTGCGTGGCAGTGAAATCACACAAATAACACATAGAAAAGATTTTTTGTGACATGTTAGTAGTTTTCGTTCTACGTGATTGCTATGAACTATTAACGACAAAAGTCACCGCATAAGTTGGTCTTCTCTAACGGTCTGCTATAAGTATGTTAACTGCGACTTGGCTAGCAGTAAGAATGTCCGCATTGCCTGCGCTATTTTTACATATACCTTATTACCAAATGGTGAAAGGGTACAGATTCGTCCATCTGCATCCCTAATCAGCATTAAGATTAGTTGGTGTGGAACACATATTTGGGAAAATTGACTCTTCTGGGTTTTGAATTTTTAAGGAAATAATTCGCACATGCTCAATACTTTATAAATGTACTTGGTTATTGTAAAACTATTCGGCCATTGCTTTATTAATAAAATCTAAATTTTGTACATTTTTCCGGTAGTACCCTGTAGTGATATCTCACCAATTTTATTACACCTTTTTTAGTGAGTAGCTGCCAAAAAATGAATAAAATGTACGAATAAGAGTATTTCAATATCAAGCGAAGTGAATTAAAACCTATTTATTTGTTTGTTTTGACTTTTCAGGTTACAATGGAAATTATTGTCTGAGGTTGTGTAGCTGCCTTCTATAACGCATAAATTCTCTGTGAGCTTCTTTAACGTTTTTATTCTTACATTCCGCAGGCTATGCCGTTAGTTTCGCTATGTTGCCCTTGCCCTTGTGCTATTTTTAGATAACATTTATTTTGGTGGATTTTGTCACGGCAGTAGTAGTGGCTGTAGCTCGTGCCCTGGAACAACAAAAGTTAAACCTTTTCCAATTTTGTGAAGAGCGAGTAAAAAGTTAGTGTCGCGCGCATCCGACTCTCATAAGCCCTACACATGGCAAAGGAATTGATGATTTTTGCTATTTGACTTAACAAAATGATTTGTTATAAAGTACATATGCTGTACATATAGTATATTTGCATATATTCAAAGCGAAAGACAACAATGCAAATTACACACACATTAATTACTTCTCACAAATAACTTCCTTTAAATGTATGCTTTGGGTAAAAAATCTACGAAATTTGCTAAATTTGTCTTCGAGGTACGACAATTAAGCTGACTGTACCCATGTTATCCATAAGTAAATGGTAAAACAAACATTTTGAGCTCCCACTACCTTTATTAAACGGAAAGTTGAATAGAAAAGGGAAAATAAATTAT